TGGAACAACTTCAATGGACTGATATTCTCTAACGATAATATTTTTAAGCATAGTTTCAAAACTCATGTTAAAAGTTTAGAAATTTTAGCTCTAAAATGCCTTTTTATGTTCGAGAAAAGATCTCCAAAGTCCAAATAATTATAATTTATCTCCAATTACTATAAGCAACTACAAACTCATTCCTCGTTATATATGCACCTCAAGATCATAATCACTCGTCACTCACTCCCTTTTCCCAAAAACATATCATCGATCATCCCTCCTTATCAACTGTTTAACATCATAAATGTCGTCTGTCAAGAATATTTTTGTCAGTTGAGGATTATGTAACCCTGCCGAATCTCAAATATCTTTCGAAATCTTATTTGATATCTTAAAACCGTAATCCATTATCTTGGTACCAATCTTAATATCAACAAAAAAACAAATGATGATTTATTAAAAACAACAGTTAAGAAGTTGTGATTTAGTGGCCCAAAGAAAAAAAACAACCAGTTTAAAAATTTTAGTGGTAAAATTGATTGTTTTATAGTTCAATAACTAAAATGAGATAATACCTAAAAATTCAATAAGTAATAGTGTAATTTAGCCTAAATATTAATTCTTAATTTTTATTTTTTGAATAACCTAAGGAGAGCGAGAGAATAAATTTTCTCCTAATGAGTATTTAACCCACAATTTTGGAGAAAATAAAAATATGAACTGAGAATTTTTAATCACTTACTCTAGAGACTATTGGTATTATTTCTTAATTGGCTTAATGTCAAAATAAGTACTCAAACTATACCCTTTTTTCTAAAGAGGTGCATAAACTTTTTTTTGATTCATTCATGTACCTAACATTACAAACGTTACCATTTTAGGTGCTCGGACCGTCAACGACATTAATTTCCCTGTTAAATGACATGTGTCATAATCTTAAAATTTTGAAAATTTTATTTTTCTTAAAAAATAAAAAAATATTATTAAAAAATAAAAAAAACAAACCTTTTCCCTACCCGCGTGCCCCCTTTTCCCTCCCCTGCTCCTCTCCCTTCCCTTGTTCACTCCTTCCATGGTCAAAGGACAAACGACCAACCAAATGGCCAACTGCCACAATAACCTAAACTATCGATTATCACGATCAAAATTGAAGGATTGAGTATTTGAGATTTTAGAGATTGAAATTTAGGGATTTGAGAATTTTGAGTTTTGAGATGATGGTAAGGGTTGTGAACAATCATTGGTGATCAACGACGTATGTGTTTTGTTCGTAGGCAAATAAGTGGCTAGAGATGACCGACAATTGTAGTAAATGGGACTAGAATAAGAGATTTTAAGATTTTGGATTTTTTTTTATATTTTTGGAAAAATGGGGCTTTTAAAGAAAATAAAATATTTTGAAGTTTTTTTTAAAAAAATTCAAAATTACCAGATTATGACACGTATCAACTAACAAGGGAAATTAACGCAATTGAAGGCTCGTGTACCTAAAATGGTAACGTTTGTAACGTTAGACACATAAATAATTAAAAAAATAGTTTAGGCACATATTCGAGAAAAATAATATAGTTTGGGTACTTAATTTGGTATTAAGCCTTCTTAATTATTAAGATTGTGGAGTGAGACAACGTAATGGCCACAGCAATGAGAGTTACAATTCGACCCTGAAGTGGCTCACACTCATGTTCTAAGATATGTAAGCGCAAATGACTTGGCTGATTGGTATGGATTTTATTATTTATTTAAATGTGATCTCACAAACTCTTTTTTCTCTCTTTTTTTTTAAATTTACACGAAAATGAAAAAACTAAAATATTGTGATTATGAGGTCAAGTTTTAATATTCGTTTTAAAAATAGGGGAAAAACAAACGGTTGATGGTGGGCGGCTTGGTGGGTGGGGATAAACTATACATTGAATACACTCACAACTTGCCAAACTTAGTTGTCTTAGAATGGCAATATCTACATATTTCATCGTCTCTTTGCGTCTTAGCAAGTCAGATTGCAATCGATATGGGGCTGCCATCTCCCCTTGAAGCCAAAACCTGAAAGGTACTATGAATCAAACACAAACCTATTAAATGTCACCATTTTGCAGCAGTCCAATGAGTGTATTATACGTTGAACTAATTGAGATAACCTACCATTTTATACTTTGAATTTAGTCCCGAAAACCAGACATGACATAAAACGAGTCGGAGATTTATTGATACATCTATCTCCAATCACGCACATGCTAGAAAACTTGAAAGAAAATATGGAAGAGGTCTAAATCATGCATGGAGGATAAGAGTCGGTCAGGATAGCCAAAGGAGACTGCCCACAAACCATTAAAAGGACTCTCTATATTGTACGTACAACATTCCTCTAATTTGGATTCAGGCAAGTCATCCTTGGCTACCAAACAAGACTCTTAAATCCCATACAAGATCGCTCTTCCTGCCCCAACATATCGATTTATATGCACAATTCAGCATCGACAAACGCTCTATTTATAGCCTTTGACAAATGAAAATTAGCTGATTCTTTTGTGGCAGTTTTATCATTATCTCTATTTGTCATCACACTCCAAAAGCATTCAACCATTGACGTGGAGTTGATAGAATATATTTTAGTGATTTTAAGGACCAACTTATCACAATTGTCCTAAAATTTATGAGATCAAATAATCGAATGTCGATATTTTTTTTGGCCTTTAGAATTGTCACAATTGATATAAGCTTTGCTGATTTATTCTTCTTTGACTTAAATTAATTGGCTTTCAAGAAATGAGATGGTACAATTTGGCATATCAATTCTTTGATACTATTCCAAGCTTCTTGGGTTCAAAAGTTTTCCTCCACAGGACTTTTCGGCATCCACATCCATACAGCTTTATGCCATATTTGGATGAATTTGGGAAAGAAATTGGAAAATTTAATAGTTTGGGGATCAATTTCGAAAGAGGAATATAGTTTAAGGATAAAATTAAAATATTCAAAAGTTTAAGGACTAATGTAGAATGAGGTCTTAATTTGAGAATGTAATTGAAATATTCAAAAGTTTAAGAAAATTTAAAATGATGGTTATAGTTTAAGGATATATATCTTAATAAAATTTAAATTTTAGGGTAAATTTGGGATCTAATTTAGGGTCCAACAAGGAAAAAGATTTAACCCATAACATAAGGTGAATAATGGGCTTAAACTGGTCATGTGGTTAGTCCAAGCCATATATCCACAGTATTTGTTTAGGGTTTTTGCGAATATTTGTCAAGTTCAAAAGAGGGATTTAGGCTGATTTTCTTCTTAAGCTACCATTGCAAAAGCAGAGCTTAATTCTGTCTTCTACAAATGGATACATCAGCACTCAATTCTCCCGATTTGCAACGGTTTCTTAATGTATGTTCTCTTTATCTTTCGTTTCATTGCCGACATAACCCAAAAGTTCAAATCTGCTTTAATTTGATTGACTTGATTGCTTTGCCACTTTTGGGTTTTGATTTTATTTCTTTGTAAAAATTTTGGGTTCATAGGAAGTCTGAAACGTAAGTAAGTATGCTATTTAGAATAATGCTATTACATGAAATGTAAAAGTTGGCAACTTTTTTGATTATTTCAATACACCAGATAAAGTTATTAGTATGTATAGAAACTTTGAAGAGTGCTCCTAAGACAATTGTTCGGTCGTGTAACATTAACACATTATCGGAATTAACTGTCTGAAGGTTTTTGTTTTTCCATTTTGTAATTTAGTTTCATCACTAGTTTCTCGTTTGCTTGTAAACACAGTGGCAGATTCTAGTATTCTTGTTTATTCTAGATTTTAGCACACTGCTTAAAGTTAGTGTTTGTCATTATTGTAGTTTTGTCTCATTAATTGCTGTTGGTGACTGTTTATATACTGATTTTCAATGCAATGTGAGAAGATATTACTTGAGACGATAAACTTAAAGAGTGCTCTTTGGACTTTCCAGTGTAAAATTCATTTAGTATTTATTGTGTGTTGTGTGAATGATATGATTAACATATTGTATAGGTAAACATTATTTGCATATCGATCCATGCACATCTTATGCCCCCATACTAGGTTCGGAAGGGACAAGTGTGTCATCTGTTGATTTATCTCCGGCCAGCTTGGAGGAGGCGGGCAATGTGCATGACATGAGTGGGTATAGATGGGATCCTTATACAAGTCTTTCAGAAAATGATGCTGAACTGAAAAGTGAGAAGACTTAAATTTGAATGGTGTATTCTTTTGTCATCTTTTAGAGTTGGTCTCATTTAAACTTCTGACTCTAATTTAATAAGTGCTTTTATAATTAGTATAGATTGGTTATTGTTGTTAAGTGTGATGGATTAATGATTGTTGATATAGTTTGAGGACTTTTGCATTAGTTGTTTTCGTAATTGTTGAATGCAGCCTTTCTTGTACATCGAGAAACTTAGAATCCTACCTTTTTTGGCTCTTGATTTATTTTGTTGTGGCTATACAGCAAGAAAAGGAGAAGGCCATGGTCAATGAGATGGTGGCAAAGCTTACGAGTGTGTGCTGGGACAAGTGTATCACAAGCACTACCGGGAACAAATTCAGCTCGAGCGAATCAGCTTGCCTTTCTAATTGTGCTCAACGGTTCATGGACATGACCATGATCATCATGAAACGCGTTCAATCCATGCAGTAAACCTAGAGCGGACTATGAGTGCAGGCCTGGTTACAAGTTAGCTTTTCCTACAAAATTTGCTGTATTTTTTTTTAAAAAAAAACCGATACTCTGTTTTTTGAAATTCATATACAAGGACATCTTTTGGGTCGAGTATTCTACAAATCATTTATCTGAACTATTGTGGCCGTAAAGAAGTATGCTTCTTTTCTTTTGTAGAGGAATAAAGCAGCCCCAGATATCGTATTAACACAACGCCTTACAACACAATACAATTTAGCATGTCAAAAATTAAAGCACTAGTTTCCAATAAACCAAATCCAATACATTTTTCCACTTGTTCTTTTACTCGTCCATTTTCGTCTTTCTGTTTACTTTACAGTTGATCATTTTGTTTCGTATTGTTGATTCCGGTTGTAGATTCAGTATTGCTCAAACCATTCATCCTCTTTGATTCTCCGATTCTGGACAAAGGAAGAATCTCAGGTGATATTTCCCATCTTTCACTCTTCCTTCCCCAATTCAAATGCCTCTCCGTGTTCTCCGAGGGAAGGATCCGGCTTAAATCGGAAGAAACATTGGGCAATCCACTGCCCTTGTCCATATAGTCAACACTGTGTTGTCCTTCGTAATCCCTGATACCTCGTAATGCCTCTTCCCGAACTGGCTTTCTCCCCATTGCAATTTCACCAAAGGTGTTCCCCTTGTTCGGACGTATAAAATCTCCGTCCACTGTTCTCGGTGAAATTGCAGCTTCCTTTGGAACCTTTGCCCTGAGATTTATCTTCGATGGAGGAATACTGGTGCAGAATACCTCCATGAAGTTCTTGACGACCCCTTTGTTGTACGGATTCTCATGACGATCGTATCGGTATCTAAAGTTCTCGTATGTAGACTGCCAAAAGTACAAAAAAGAACTCGGTCGATTCAAGCCTAAAATAATGCAAAACAGTTTAAATAGAACAATAACACAAGATTCAAACATAATAAACTTATCACAACATATTGCATTTTCAGTATCCCATCATTTACCTGGTTTGTACTAATCAGATACAAATGGAAAACGGATAAACCACCAACAAACCAGACAGCAATGAAGGTGTAGATTATTAGTGCAATGGAGGCGGGAGTTTTGGTCATCGCTCTCCAGATTGTTGTTTTCTCGCCGTCCATGATTCTCCGGATGTAAACCCAGCAAAACCCGTGCACGTATAAACAAAGAAGAGTCGTAGAGAATATAAACATGAAGAAGAATCGGTAATTCCGCTGCACCAAACAGGGAAGAAAAGGAGATCAGAGGCATCATCATCATACATTTCCTATGCAAATGCACCAATGCAAGTAATAGCTACACTGAAAAATTATTAGGTTGCAAGGAGTGATTAATCGTGCCGGGAAAAGCCTATTAGAGATATTGAAATGACTGGAAAACTAAGGGGGCTTTAAACAGATGTAAAAGAACTAAAGAAATGGCCGGAATAAGCTTCTGAACTGTTACCGCTAGTTTGGATGAAGAAAGCAGAGAAGAACATGTAAAACAATTTATATTACCAGTCCAATACACTGACCAACCCAAGGGCAGTGGTGGTCGAATCTGTTGACGCAGTTATTGCATATCGAACAGTGAGAACATCGGGGAGGTCGATACAACATACAAGTATCGCAGTATTTGATCTTCACACTTATACCATTGACCACCACATCTTTTGTACGCGGTATTGGTAATGGCGGAGTTCGGCCAGGCTGAACTTCAGTCATTCCTTCATAACCTTCAGGCTCGGGAGGGTGCGAGTTTCGCGGAATTATACCGGGATCTCTTCCCGAGGTTATCAGAAGAAGAATTATATCCTGCAGAAACATATCTCGTTAGATTTGCAACGATTTTGGAATAAGAAACCGATTATCAAAGACAAGTTCAAATATCATGTGATTTAAGAATACAAAATGAACTTATCATGGTATAAAATCGAGTCTTGAATAACTTGAGGAAACATTCTAAATGCATACAATAAGCAGTAGAGAATCCAAATAATTTGTGATATCTGTCATATGATGGTAACTTGTACTCAAAGGCAAGCAAGCATCGACATTCAATAATGATATCTACAGAGTTAGAGCTGATCGTAAAATCGCCATAAATATACCATTTTCAAGAGTTCGATACACAGAACATCAGTGACAAGAAGCACTACACAAGAAAATCAAGTACTGAATCGATAACTTGAGGAAACACTCCAAATTCAGAGAATCAATAGCAAATCGAAACGGTTTATGATATCAGTCATACAAAGGTAGAAATTGTATAAAAAGGGCATGCGAGCATCAACATTAATAACCATCATGGATCGTAAAATCAACAACAAAAACAACACCATTTTCGAGATCTCGATACGCAGAACATCAGCGACAGATAGCGGTGTAAATGAAGAAAAGATTTTTAAGGAAGGAAATGAACTAACAGATAAAGTGAGAGCCACAACGACAGCCATTATCGATATTCCAAGGTGATGAGGGAAATCATCCAGTAATTTTCTTGCTACAAACACACAGAAGACGGCAACCGGAGCAACGATTAAGAAGATGGTGAAGAAAAGGGATCTAGCATCAGGTCCAAAAATAAATCTTGCTCCCAAAACAAATACCTGGAGGAAAAAATGGGGAAAATTTTTGCATAGCACATACTTAAAAGATAAATGCATTATAATTAAACTTTGAAACCCAATTTTCCCAGAACTCAGTGACTTGAATAATCTTCCGTATATGCTTAAGTTGGTCAAATTGTTCATAAAAAAGTTGGGTCAAATCGAAACATCTCAATTAATCCACAAAAATTCATATTAGGCTTAATCATTTGCCTTTAACTACCAAACCAATCTGATGAACTACCAATGAACTAATACAAAGAAATTCATTAACCAGACACCATTTTTTTAATTAAAAGAAGAAAAAACTTTCCCATCAATCAAATAACAACGTAAACCCATAATCATACACTACTGATCCCATCAATTAACCCTAAATTGAAGATCTTTGATCAACAAATCATCAAAAGAGATAAATAAAAGAAGGAAGCTTTTATTTTGATATTTTTTTGCTTACATTGCTGCCTTTCCAAGCTTTGTAAGTTCTGATGAAACCATCACCGCGGTTAGCTTCGTCGACCAAATCTGGAGGCTGCAGACCATTCATCTTCCAAAAATTCAATCTTTTTCTCCCTTGTCTCAATTAAGTACATGAATTGAAGAATCACAGCAGAAATGAGAAAGGAAGAAAAAGTTTCTTTTTTGGCAAAAAAAAAATACAATAAATTTAGAAAGGCGGCTCTTATTTATTTATTTATTTATTTTTATTTTGGGTTCTCATTTCTTTTCAGTTTTTTGTTTCTCTCTCGTGTATTGAAGGCAACAGGTTGCGTTGACTTTTCTCTACTGCTGATAACTTAGTCAATTTGCCAACGCCGTCTAAGGTGGCCAAGGTCCACCGTCGAGCTGGTCAACAGTATCAAAATTGCTCTAATTTTGATACTTTTATACTAATATATATGTAAAAGTATTAAATAATAATGGTCATGTCTAACGTTAAAATAAAACATTATTAACCCTTAAGAACAAAACGAGGTCAGGTTAAGAATGTAAGATCGATGGTCATATAAAATTAATAAACTGTGCGTAAATTCTTCGGTTCCGACATATGTATTCGTGTATGTTTTTAATTATCTTAATAATAGATTTATGGTATATAATTCTCTTAATTTTTTTAAAATAATTTAACTTATGAATTTATTTTATATTTTATGTTATTTTTAAATTGAGAAAAGTTTTATTTAATTTTTTATTAGTATAAATTATTATTAGTTATTATAGTGTTGATGTATCAATTCACACTGTTAATATAGTAGTCCATAATACTGACATAACAATCTACAGTGAATGATGCCGTGATAGAAAAACCTAATTAATTCTTTTAAAAAGTTCAATGACTAAATTAATAAATATATATTAGTGAGCGTGTTAAGTTTATCGTACGGATATTTTTATTCACATATTAATATATCAAAAATATTTTGCGGAGCACCGTCACAGTAAGATTTTTAACACCTGTATCGAAGAATAATATTTGAATACTTAATGGACATATATATATTTGATTTGTCACTCTATTTATATTTCGAACTTATTTTAATTTAGACTTTGTATAATGAATCTCTAATTTTGTAAGTATGTTTTATCGTCATTATGAATTTTAACAGTTTGCATTTATTAATGCTTTCATATTTTGATAAGAGATTAAAAGTTTTAAGTGATGATCGTTTCAGTGGTTTAATATAACATATTAGGTTCATCTTCTAATGAATTAGGTTTAAGATATTATATTATATATATATATATATATATATTATGTATACTATATGACAAGTAGATATTATTATCGTATGTTGTTTGAGGTAAATGATATGTTTTAAATATTCTTTATATACATGTTTGTGTGTCTATACGATACTAAAATATAAATTATATATTAAAATGATTACATGTATACGTTAAACGTGCTTATATGTCTAAATAAATAAAATAAGATTAAATTATAAATATAAAAATAAATAAATTACCTTAGTTAAAAAAGTTGAGTATATTTTAGTTACAAAAACAGTTGAATATATTTACTTTGGCTTATGGGGTAAACGATATGAGTATAACTTTACGATAAATTATAATTTTACTGTGCTAAATGTATATATAAAATAGTTAAAAGTATAAAATGTTATATTTTTTACTTATATTATGTTAAATAGATAGAAGTAGATTTAGATTGACGAGAGGCAACCAGAGATTTTTTTGATGAAAGTATTTTATTTTTTAATAATTTATCATTTTATAATTTTTAATACTAATGTGGTTGGTTCAAGTGGTAAGCAGTTTGATATCTTTTAAATAACGTTTAGGGTTTGAGTAAATGTGTAGGTAAAAATTCTATGTTGGGAGATTCACTCCTCAAAGTCATGTGTGTGACGCATGTCGGTCTAGATTAATCAGAGCGAAAGCTTTAAACCGGAAGAACAACCCATAAATATTATAATTCATTATTTTATAATTTGTGATATTTTAATATTATTTAATTTTTAATAATTTTTATTTTAATATTTTAAAATTTATTTAATATATATTTTAATAATTTTTTAAATAATTTTTTTTATTTTTAAAAATTAAATGATCATCAATCTTTTTGAAAAAATCAAATAAACTAATGAATTTTCTAACAAAATCAATCGGAAGTTTAAATTTATTTTTTTCTCAGTTTACGAGTCATATTGGATGCACTATTTTTTCTAAAGTTTGAAGGTATCAAATACAGACTCAACTAAAATTACTAAATATAATATATATCATATTAATGATTTTTTATCATTTTTTATAATCTTTAAATAAAATAATTTTTTTATTTAAATATATCATCTTGTTTCTAGCTCCTTCTGAAATGTTTCTCCGAGCTAGTTCTTTAACGATCAGAACTATCGGTGCTTGCCATTTGCTTCTTTCCTTTATTCCTTTTGGATGGGATGATAGTTTGGCTAGAATTTTGTTCTAAGTCCAACTGGCTGATACGATGATTAATTTCCTCATTAGGCTCCCCGTTTTGTCAACTTTCCTTAACGATCCTCACATTTTCTTTTGAGACGTCTTCGTTGAGGGTTTTATATCGATTATCATTTTGGATATCCCGGTATGTATTATTCTGGTTCCTTGTATTAACTTTCTAGCTTCTTTGTTTCCGTTGGAATAGCATCCAAGGACCAATTTTGTTCGCATTACTGGCTTTTTGTTCCGAATCATCATTCTTAGGGATGCCAGTATCTTAGGGTTCTTGAGTAGTTTGATTCGACCGTTTTTCTTTGTCTTCTCCCTTCTGTGAATCATTAAAGTGTTTGATAGGACAATTTTTAGTTTTATGCCCCACCATGCCACAATAAAAAAATATGAAGTAGACCTTCACATTCGACGTTGAGAGTTATGTTTCCAACTCGAATCTTTGATAACAGAGGTTTATGGAGGTCAATCTCCACGATATTCTAGTGAAACTTCCTCTAGTCGTCCACGCCATTCGATAATCGATTTTCGACTACCAGCTTTTCGATACTAACCAGAATCCATTGATCGAAATATTCAATTGGTAAACCTGGGATATGAATCCACATCGCTGTAGATGAAACATTTGCTTTTTCGAAAAAGAAATTTGGTTTCCATTTTTGAACAGTAAGGTAATGATCCATAATTTTCCAGGGACATTCGGCCAATACTTTTATTCTATTTGTCATGCTTTGAAACTTCACGACATATAAGCCATTCCCTAAATCTATGCAATCAAAATCAATTCAAGTTTCCACGTAGAAGTAATTCGACTGATTAAAATTTTTGTAAGGGATGGTTTTCCCTAACAACTTGATGATTGTAACACCACAAATTATGGGTTATTAGTTTCGAGTTTACCAGATATGTATGTGGACCTCGAAGAGTTTGTAATTAAAGTCGTTGGGTTGAGTGCGGGCTTGATTGGATGTGAATTGAGCCTAGAAGATTATAAAAATTAGGTTTTTTTCATATAAGGTAAAATATGAGGTACTAAAATTATAGTTATACCATTGTTGAAATTGAGGTTGATATTAGGGGATTTGGAATAAGTTTGGGCGTGACTTTTGGAAGACAAAAGCTAAAGGCTTTGTCTTTTCTTCTCATCTTCTCTTTTCTCTATTTTCTTCTTCCATCTTATTCCTCAAGCTTCATGGATAAAAAATGGTGGTGGTAAGGACTTCTTCCATGTTTCATTCTAGCTTTAAATTAGTCTTTAAGTCTTCTAGCAACATTTTCTAAAGATCTAGAGCCTTGCTTTTCTTGTTGGCTAGAGAAAGTGTTAGGGGTTTTGCTTGATTCATGCTTAGATGACATTTTTGTTGTAAATGTTGTGTTTTTATAGTGCTAAATGACCCTAAATGGAGTGATTGAAAGGAATCTTGAGTTTTTCTCGAGCTTATTTCAAGGTTTTCTAGGTCAAGGTATCGATACTGGATGAACAATATCGATACTAGATGATTTAGGTCAATGTTTGGGCATTTTATAAGGGGAGTATCGATACTCTAGGGAGAAGTATCGAGATTGCAGCCCTGGTATCAATATTGAGGGTAAAAATATTGATATTAGGGGTAAATTTTGCAATCTAGTAGCCATTTTTATACCGATACTCAAAGGGGTATCGACACTTGACTTAGAAGTATCGATAATGCATGTAGGGTATCGATACTACTCATTTCAGATGGTTAGATTCGACTTCATTAAGGCCCGTAAGAGTTAAGAATAACCCGAAATGGTGAGACTTAGTTCGAGAGGGACTTAAATGACAAAAGGGTGCTTAGAAACACTCTTAAGAGTGTGTTACAACCAAAGTAACCATATTAGACGAAATACTCCCGAGTATTTTCAATCGAACACGTATAAAGTAATTATAGACGAATGATAGTTTTGAAAGATGTACCAACGAGTGAGATGGTGAATAACATGACTAGATTGACAGTGGAAGGCGAGTACTACGAGGATACCTTAATCAAAGATGTGTAAGTTGCTCTACCGGTTCAAGGGTGAACTGATGGGAAGTGTAATGAGAACGATTAGGGAGTCATTGTCAATGACTATACCCGAATTCACTTTTGGGCTAGTTATAATATGCCAAGTAGGTAGCAATGATTATGAATTGCCTTAAGGGCATAAAACACTAAAATACTATTAAGCTATTGCATAACATTCTATGAGAGAACAAACGGGATAATAGGGAGAGAGGGAACGATCTTAACTACTTTTTTTGTAATTGATATTAATGATAAGATAATCAGGTGATAATAATGTTACATATGTGATAACTATAATAACCTTATGAGGTAAGATTTCATAAGACTTATGCCTTTGTTTTCCACTTGGGAAACGATGAGGACACCTGAGTTACTTGTGTGGGTGTGTGACAATCGTCTAGTTGTTGAGAATAGCCAAATATATCCAAAGTAATGAGGGGGCACTTTAGGCACTAGTTAGATGTTGTACTGATGCTATGTGACCCATACACGTTCCAAGTATTATAAATGAGTAGACTAGCCTGGCCAAGTGACGACGCTATGTGATCTGGACCTAGCCTAAAATTCTTGCGGGGTGCCGATGCTATGTGACCCGGACCACACCTAAGGTATTTGTAAGATGCTGATGCTATGTGACCCAGATCTTACCC